TGGATGTTGGAGCTCCTCTGAGGTCCTAGGGAATCTTCTGATACATGTCATTGAGATTTTGTATCACAGGGTAAAACTCGGCATCAAGCTTGATGACCTGAGATCACCCCTGAAGGCCCACATAGTGGAAGGAAAGAATCAACTATCCCAGTTGCCCTCTGACTCTACAATATGCCATTTGTATTTATATGTTTTATGGTTTTAGTATACAAATATTACATTTATTGCTGTTATTGCTGCTGGTATTGACGATGATGGTGGTTTTGAGACAGGGTCTCCTTCCCCAGGCTGTTCTGCTAAGATTGACCCTGAACTCCTGATCTTCCTGCCTCCACTTAGAGGATTGGAATCACAAGCATGTCCCACCATGCTTGGTTTATGTGGTGCTGGCTATTGAACACAGGACTATTTGCATGCTGGGCAAGCATTCTGTTGAACTACATCCCTGGTGTCACTATATTTTTTGTTGTTGTGTTTTTTTTTAACTGTTATCTTTAGTGCTATTGTGAATGTCAGATTTTATGTGCATTGTGCTAGGGATCCAGAAAGGTTTCATCTCATGTCATAGCCGTTGTGTGACTTACATTGTCACAAGAAAGGTGAATACAGATACAAGATACCAAGCGATGGATGCAGCACAGTCACAGAATTTTTGTTGCATAGTCTGGTCGATGTGTTTTATCAGTGATTGTTATGCCCTTGCTGCACATACTTTATATGTGTACTTTATGATAGGCAGGCATGTATAGGGAAAGCATAGTGTACATCTTGCTACTTCCTGCAGGAATTTCAGAACTAGCTTTGAACATCTTGAGAGGGAGTAAGATGTCTGTATAGAAGCAGTTGGGAGCTTCTGATGGATTGCCTGACTGAACGAGCTCCCGTGGGGAGTGCAGTGAAATCACCAGGGCCAGAAAAAGCTGAAACACAGAAAAGGGAACAGCTCAGGTCCAGTGGAACCATCAGGCAACGGCTTCCCACCTTCCCTTCCCCACATTCTGGCATAGGAAACTGAAACAGCAGTTGGAGCAAAGGGCTCACACATGACTTTCTTTCACCCATCACTCCACACATGCAAAGACCAGCCAAGGAAAGAGAACGCCAGGGACCCGTTTAACTGCTCACTTAGTGCAAATCAGCCAGAAGCTCACTCCAAAAGTCCTCAGAGAGGGCTGGTGGAATGGCTTAGTGGGTAAAGGTACTTGACACCAAGCTTGATGACATGAGTTTGGGTCCTTGGGATCCTTTGGAGCCTGGTGGAAGGAGAGAACTGACTCCTACAAGTTGTCCTCTGACCCACAAATGTGCCATAGTACACTCTGTGTACTATGTGAAGTGCTAAAAAGAAAAGAAAAGCCCATAGCAAAAGGGAGACAGGAATGGATCCCCATCATAGAGGAACTGCCAGTGTTGAATAGGCCTCCAGGAGCTGGAGACGTGATATAAGGGATGTCAGGTTGAACCCAGAAGTCAGGCAAGTCAGTTTTCATGGCCTATGCCTCCTGCTCTCTCCCTCTGCATCAATTCCTTCTGTATCTATACCTGTATCTGTTTACCAAGTGTGGTGGTTTGAATAGGTATGGTTCCCATAGACTCATGTGTTTGAATGCTTGGCCTTTAGGGAGTGGCACTATTAGGAGGTGTGACCTTGTTGGAGAAAGTGTGTCATTGTGGAGGGGAGCTTTGAGGTCTTATGTGCTCAAGCGATGCCCAGTGTGATACAACAGTTCACTTCTGTTGTCTACAGATCAAGATGTAGAACTTTCAGCTCCTCCAGCACCATGTCTGCCTGCACGTTGCCATGGCAGTAATGGACTAAACCTCTGAACTGTAAGCCAGCCCAATTAAATGTTTTCCTTTGTAAGAGATGCCATAACTGGGTAGTGGTTGGTGGCTCACACCTTTAACCCAGCACTCAGGAGGCAGGGGTAGACTGATCTCTGTGAGCTCAAGGTCAGTCTGGTCTACAAAGAAGTTCTAGGACAGCTACACAGAGAGAAACCCTGTCTTGAAAAACAAACAAACAGAGTTGTGTTCACAGTGTCTCTTCACAGCAATAGAAACCCTAACTAGGATACCAGGCCAGCTCAGAGTCACTCTGTTCTTGTGCTGTGTTTTAATCCCTTTTCCTTCTCCCCAAAGCACTGTCTGGTCTGGTCTTTGCAGTCTCTGTGACTCACTTCCTGAGCTGAGACTGCTCTGTATTATCTGATAGTAAATCTTAAAATATCTTTTTAAGGTTGATTTTTATTTATATGTGTGTGTTCATGTAAGTTAGGAAAGGGCATAAGAGCCTCTAAAGCTGAAATCATGGGCAGTTGTGAGCCCCTGGATCTTCTGCAGGAGCAGCAAGTGCCCTGAGCTGCTGTGCCATCTCTTCAGACACAGTAGCATGTCTTTGTTTCTGTCTTTTCAGTCTGCCTTTAGCTGAAAGTCCTCATCCCCTTACTGGTAGCACCATTCATTTACACTCCCCTCCTTTACTTTCTGTCACTCCAGCACCATTCACTTGTCTGCATTTTTCTTCCTTTTCTTTGCACTCATACACACAATAATGACTGTATCGACAAATGCCGTACTATCAGTGACCCTTAATCCACAGTGATTATTCTGACTGTTTTGTAGTTGACCATTACTCTGTCTGTCTTAGATTGTCTACCCCTAGATAGGATCTGTTATTTCAGATGATATGTTACTTTTGGGAGAAGACTGGAGACAGAGCCTGGCCCTGAGCTCCAGTCCAACAGAGAAATTACCCTTCAGCCTTATCTATCTGGAGCATTGCAAACACTAAAAGATTAAAGGTGATATGAATAATAACAACTAAAATCTGTCTCCTAATGTGCAAGTTCCAATACATAGCACAAATAGCATGAAAAGTCAAGACAGAATGTCTCCTCAGAAATTACTAGTCCTGCTGGGTGGTGGTGGCTCACACCTTTAGTCCCAGCACTCGGAAGGTAGATGAAGGCGGATCTCTGTGAGTTTGAGACCAGCCTGGTCTATAAGAGCTAGTTCCAGGACAGCCTCCAAAGCCATAAAGAAACCCTGTCTCAAAAAACCAAAACCTAAAAAAAAAAAAAAAAAAAAAAAAAAAAAAAAAAAAAAAAAATTACTAATCCCATATTCCACAGTAATGGACCCCAGTCCAGACAAAGAATGCTTATAAATATGTTCATAGAGCTGAGGATGGTGGTGCTCACCTTTAATCCTAGCACTCAGAAGGCAGAGGCAGGTGGATCTCTGTGAGTTCAAGGCCAACCTGGTCTGTAGAGTGAGTTCCATGACAGCCAGGATTATATAGCAAGACTGTCTCAAAACCAACCAACCAACCAACCAACAAAATATGTTTAAAGAAGTGAAAGTGGACACAAATAAACCTGAGTGAATTCAGAGAGAACATAGACAGTTGACTGAAATAATAGAATTCAGTCACGAGATAGAAATACTGAAGGAAAACCAAACTGAGATGGTTGAATTGAAAAATTCAGTAAATCAAATAAAAGCCTCAGTGGAAAGCTTCACTTGTAGAGTGGTTTGCAGGGAGGACAGAATAACAGATCTTGGGGAGAAGATAACAAAGATAAAATAACAAAAGCCTACAAATAGAATATTTGAGATCTTTGGGACACCATGAAAAGTCCTAATCTACAAATTATGTGGAGATGAATTCCATGCAAAAGGCATAGAAGACATTTTCAATATAATGAAGGAGACAGTTCCCCAAATCTAGGGAAAGAGGCTTATCCCTGTAAAAAATGTATGGATCACCAAATAGACAGGAAGGAAATTGCCTTTATTGTTAAGACACTAAATATACACTACAAAAAAAAGTATTGAAAGCTGGAAACACAAAGGCAGCCAGCTAGCCCATCAGAATAACAACATATTTCTCAGTAGATACCTCAACCCCAGAAAGGCCTTGGTGATCCATTTCAAGTTTTGTAAGACCACATCTGCCACTTAACACTACTGTATCCAGCAAAACTATCTACCAGAGTTGAATGAGAAAGAAAAACACTCCAAGATTAAAAAGAAAAGAAACAGGCTAAAGGAATTTATTATCTTGTGACATGAAAGTCTATGAATGAGACTAGACTAAATTAGGACTAAAGAGAATGATAAACACACCCAAGAGGCTACAGGGAAGAAATGATGCTAGAACAGTAGTTAAGCTAAAGTGGATTAGACACTAAACACTGCAACATGACAGGATTTAACACAAAATTTTCATAATAGTTCTGAATATTAATGATCTCAGTTTCCCCATTAAGTCATATTATCAGACTAGAATAAAAAACAAGAGCCAGGTCTTTGTTTCCTCCAAGAAACACACCTCGCCCGCCATATATAATGGTCCAGATGAGAAACATCCACAATCTATAAACCACACTAATCAATCACTTGTATGTATGTATGTATGTATGTATGTATGTATGTTTTGTTTTTCGAGTCGGTTTCTCTGTGTGTATCCCTGGCTGTCCTGGAATTCACTTTGTAGACCAGGCTGGCCTGGAACTCAAAGAGATCCGCTTGCTTCTGCCTCCCAAGTGCTGGGATTAAAGGTATGCGTCACCACTGCCAGCTCTAGTTCTCTCTGTGTCTTTTTTTTTTTTTTAAGATTTATTTATTTACTATGTATACACTGTTCTGTCTGCATGTATGCCTGTGTGCCACCAGATCTCATTGTGGATAGTTGGGGACCACCATGTGGTTGCTAGGAATCGAACTCAGGACCTCTGGAAGAACCTGAGCCATCTCTCCAGGCTCAGCTCTAGTTCCTTTAAGCACAGAGATTTTAAACTTTTAAATATAAGGTTATCCATTCATTCACACGGATAGGTTAGCCATCACATTCTCCACTTGAGTTAAACCCTGAGTCACATCCTTGAGTATCACTTCTTTCCACTTGTTCTGTCAATACTGTTTCTCTAGAGAACCCTAATATTAAAATATCAAATAAAAATATTCTGAACAATGTTCAATAAAAAATAGCTTGAATACTTAGCTGGCAGGGGAGATTCCATGATCACAAGGTGGTTTTCCCAGGCGAGGCTTATCCATTGCACTCTGGATGTGCTAAACCCTGCGATTTCCCCAAATGTGGGAAACTCGACTGCATAATTTGTGGTAGTGGGGTCTGCATTCATACTTTCCCCTGGGAAATAAAAAATAGAAAAAAAATTGCTTGAACAGAGTTCTCAAAAGAACATAAATGGCCAATAGGGTTTTTTTTTTTTTTTTTAATGTTCAGTATCTAGGAAATGCAAATTAAAACATCTTGGCTATTGTCAAGAAAACAAAAAACAAGTGCTGAGGATGTAAGGAAAAGAGAACCCTCATCCACTGTTGTGTGAGTGTGAACAGTGTAGCCATGATGGAAATCAGTGTGGAGTGTCTCACACGTATCAACTGCACCCGCTCCTAGACACCTGCCCAAAAGACTCTGTAGCAACCACAGAGGTGCTTCCTCATCCATGTTTATTGCTGCTCTGTTCATAATATCAGGACCTGGAATCAGAATGAATAATGAAAATGGGGTACATACACATAGAGAGTTTTATTTAGATACAAAAAGAAACTGAAATTTGTAGGAAAATGAAAGGAACTGGAAAATAAATTAAATGAGAAGATTAATTAAATGAGAAAATAAATTAAAAGAAGAAGGAGTCACTCAGAAAAAGTGACTCCTGCATGAAAGCCTTTGAATTGCAGAGATGTCGGGATAGTTAAACATATGCAAATCCATAAATATAGCATGTCACATAAATGATAGTGTTTATAGAGCCCAGGAAACTAGGAATGGGCCCACGATACAGGAAAAAGGCTATGGGGAGCGATACTAGGACCCATGTGACGTGAAAATGGAAGAGGGCACACACAGTGTAAGCAGGGGAAGTTGTTTCAGAGGCAGGGGAGGGTCATCCAAAGAATGTGTGAAACAGCCCTAAGGATTCTTGTTAAGCTAAATAAAATACTTGAGTGGAGGTACCCCAACACGGGTGGATAAAGTTCCTCTCAGAAACCATAACTATTAGATGAAAATCTTAGTGCCAGGATTGAGCTACCTCCTTATAAATTGTTGGCCAAGGAAACCCCTGAGGCAGTTGCCACAGCAACTGGATAGTAGGCAGTATTGATGAAATAGCATGCTCTCAGACTGCAGGAGATAGAGAAATGAAGATGGAAGGTTGGGACTAGGGTGGAAGCTTACTCCCCAGTTGCCAGACCTCATAGAGCCAGAAGCAACCCCGCAGGCTGTTGGGGAGAATTGTCATCAGCAGTCTTAGCTGTGTTGACTCACCTTGGTTGTCAACCTGACCACATCTGGAATCAACCAAAACCCAAGCAGCTGGATTGGACTGTTTGAAGTGGGAAGGCCCACCCCCAATCTGGGCCACATCTTCTGGTGGCAGCCCACATAAAAGGACTTGGAAGAAAAAAGTTTGCTTTTTGCCTGCTTGCCTTCTCTCTTGCTGGCAAGTTTATCTACCCTGCTGCTGAAGCATTACTTTGCTTGTATTAGAACCTACTCCTTTAGGATTCCAACAGAGACTGACACCAGTCGCCCTCTAGGAATCCACCAGGACTCCAGCACTAGATTGAGACATCTGAGACATTCAGTTTCATGGACGGAACAACTACTGGATCCTTGGCCTTTGGAGAGACAGCCATTGTTGGACTACTTTGACCACAGCTTGTAAGCTACTGTCGTAAACCTCATATATTATTTCATTCTATCAGTTCTGTTCTTTTAGAGAACCCTAATAGAGCTGTGGACCCTGCATGCAATACTACTAACCAGACATGATATGCCCCTGGTGCAATAGTGGCAATCTATTACGAGAGTAGCCAACCACTTTCTGATTGGAGTTGTCTCTTCATGAGGGAATTCATGTCTGGCAATGTAAACCTGGTCAAAAGCACAGGCTGGGGAAGTATAGGCCCTAGCTGCTGTTTTGCTAAGTGGACATAATTTGCCCATCAGATTCCCTTATAAATGACTATTTTTATGCCCACAGATTAGTGTTGTTGTCAGCTTTGGTCAGAGAAGCTTAGTTTTGCAGTAGACAGTGGTAAGCGCTCAGCCATTAGTGGGACATCTACAGCGCTCCTTTGAGGCCGAGGGAGCCTTAGGAGAAGAGGTGGGAAGGATGTAGTAACTACAGAGAAGTGGGTGGTGCAGAACGCTCACTCCCAGGCAGGACAGTGCTGTCAGCTCCTGAAGACTGATCAGCTGTAATTATCTAAGCACAGTTTGCACAGGATTGGCCCTAATATCACCCTCTCATGGAGGGGGACTTAGGAGGTTGTCATCCCTTCCTCAGGATTTATAAGGTATGAAGGAACTAACTGGGAAAGGTGGATGGTGGGAATCAGGAAGTTGGAAGAAGATGAGAAGAGAGCCAGGGTAAATATGACCAAAACACACAATAGATACATATGAAAATGTCCTTGACACCAGTTATATATGTTTAATAAGACAGGTTTAAAAATAAAAGGAGTCTAATTTCCTTGAATATAGTTTTTACTTGAAAGGCAAGTTAAATGCTTATTTTCAAGTTCTCTCAATTGTCAATTTTCAGAATAAGTCGAAGCCTTAGAAATTGACCAGGCAGTGGTGGCACATACCTTTTATCCCAGCACTCAGGAGACAGAGGCAGGCAGATCTCTGTTGAGTTCGAGGCCAGCAAACTCGAACTCTGGTCTACAAAGCAAGTTGTAGGATAGCCAGAGCTACACAGTGAAACCCTGTTTCAAAGAAACAAAACAAAGCACCCCCCCCAAGAGATACTCAGTGGTGTTCAGTGAGTTTTAAGTATTTTTCTTGATACCTGTTTTATATTTTTAATATTATTCTAAGTTGATGGCTTTTTTTTTTCTTTTTTGGTTTTTCGAGACAGGGTTTCTCTGTGTAGCTTTGGAGCCTATCCTGGCACTCGCTCTGGAGACCAGGCTGGCCTTGAACTCACAGAGATCTGCCTGCCTCTGCCTCCTGAGTGCTGGGATTAAAGGTGTGCGCCAATGCCCGGCTCAGTTGATGGCTTTTTATTACCTCAAAATGACTTACTGAATTATTGTCATTATTTTTAACTACTCAGTCTTTGAGTTATAGTAATTAAAAATCATCAGTATAAACCAAAAACAGCAGCAAAAAGATGTTGAGGTACCAGGCAGGCAAATGGCTGATACCTATGATCTCAACTTCTTAGAAGACTGAGGTAGAATGATCACTTAGTCTAGGCTTGAACCCCACACTGTGGTTTGGGACTTACCGTGGACTTGAGATCTGTTCCCTACAGTAGATGAGGACTGCTTTGTTTAGGATTTTGCTTCATGATTCATTGAGTCTTGACAGTTGGTGTGTTTCTAGGAATTTGTTTGTTTTGTGTCGATTGTTCAATTTGTGGATTTTAATTTCTTTTTTTTGTTGTTGTTTCTTTTGTTTGGGACAGGGTTTCTCTGTGTAGCTTTGGAGCCTGTCCTGGCACTCGCTCTATAGACCAAGCTGGCCTGGAACTCAGAGACCCACCTGCCTCTGCCTCCTGAGTTCTGGGATTAAAGGTATGTGCCACCACTACCTGGTGTTGATAGTAATTCCGTTTTTCTTTTAAGAGATTTATTTATTATGTTTACAGTGTTCTGCCTGCATGTATGCCTCATGCCAGAAGGGGCACCAGATCTCATTACAGATGGTTGTGAGCCACCATGTGGTTGCTGGGACTGGAACTCAGGACCTCTGGAAGGGCAGCCAGTGCTCTTGACCTCTGAGCCATCTCTCCAGCCCTTGATCTTAATTTCTAACCATCTTTTGTTTTACATGACAGTCTCACATTGTAGCTCAAACTGGCCTTAACTTAAAGCAGTCCTCCTGCCTCAGCACCAGGAACATTCACACCAGGCTTTCTTACTGGCTTTTATTTTATTAACCCTGGCTGTCCTGGCACTTCCTCTGTAGACCAGGCTGGCCTCAAACTCACAGAGATCGGCCTGCCTCTACCTCCTGCAGAGATTAAAGGTGTGTGCTACCTCTCTGGATCTTTTAAAATAAAGGAAGAAGCATGCCAAAACAAGCATTTTGTTGAGCTACTTGCCTTAGTTAGATCTTACACCTAGTGTGTTGCAGCCCTCAGCCCTCAGCCCTCAGCCCTCAGATCCTGTTCCTATGATGGTAGCAGAGCTCCCAGGAGCAGTCAGTCAGTCAGACAACTCTGTAGGTGTCTCTGTGTCTCACAACTTGTTCTGTACAGCAAATGTGGAATCCCTCTGGTTGCCCTGAACTCACAGCCTGATGTTTATTTTCCTTGTATGTATATGTTTGTGCACATGTAAGTGCAGGTGCCCACAGAGCCCAGAGGTGTCAGGGTGTCTGACCCCCTGGAGCTGGGGATACAGGTAGTTGTGATCTGCATGACCTTGGTTCTGGATGTCAGTCTCAGGTCTCCAGCCCTTGCTTTGGTTCTTAAAGAAACGTTTCTTGGGGACTGGAGAGATGGCTCAGCAGTTAGGAGCACTGACTACTCTTCCTAGAGGACCTGGGTTCAATTCCCAGTATCCACATGGCAGCTCACAACTGTCTGTAATTCCAAGATCTGACACCCTTACACAGACACACATGTAGGCAAAACACCAATGCAAATAAAGTATAAATAAGTATATATATATATGAAATACTTCCTTTAGAGTCCAGGGCTCTGGGTGACATGGTGGCATGTGTTTGTTCTGAGAAGTGTGACAGAATGGAGTAGTCATGCATGAGGCTGACAGTCAGAAAGCATCACCTGCTTTGCTGCTCCCTGAAGGATTTCAGAGCTGGTTTAATGCCTCTGGAGACCTCAGGGTCTCAGCCAGGCACATGTCACACACCTGTAGTCCCAGTTACTCAGGAACCTGAGACGGGGAATCACTTGAGACCAGGCGTTCAAGACCAGCTTGGGCAACATAGTAAGACCCTGACTCTTAACAAACAGAAACAAAAACACCCTCCAAGTGAGAAAGGAATAGTATTGTGCTTTTTAAAACCATTAGCTTTTTAAAACCATTAGCACTTCCTAACCATAAGAACATCTAAGATTGGGCTGGAGAGATGGCTCAGAGGTTAAGAGCACTGGCTGGCTGCTCTTCCAGAGGTCCTGAGTTCAATTCCCAGCAACTACATGG